CTCCCCCTTTTTTTTTGATCTATACAAAAACACACAAGAATATAAAATCATTTAAATAATCAAAGGGCACATTTTGCAAGCCAGCCTCCTGTCCACCAGCACACAGCCTTTCTCCTTACATGAGTCTAGAGTCCTCAGTTGCTCTATCTCTTCAGGCCATCACCTCTGACTCCATCTATCCTGTTGCTGATTCTCTGATTAGGATCCCCCCTTCCACTCTTGTTCTTTTCTCTTGATCCTCCTAGGGTCCTCCGTTCCTGGAATGTAAGATTAACTAATTCCCCCTTTTTGTTATGCAATTTACACCTTTACAGTTGTGACTATCGTAATTAGTCATGGAAACAATAATTTACTATTGACTTGAATGAATTCTATCCCCATCTCCTTTCACCAGCCTCATCTAGACAAGATGAAAACTATTCAGTGGGGATTCTATCATACCCCATGACCTCTCTGAAACTAAACTCTCTCTTGAAATTTGTAAGGCAGCCACTTGGTGCCTTTGTAGCCCTCCTCATCTTAGATAGCCAATGTCTAAGTTGCCTATCCCTATCAACCCTGTGTGCCTTTATCCTTGATGTGAAGACTCCTTCCCTCTCGGTTGGTATTTTGAGCTACTACATCCATGAGTATAGGTTAAGTTCATCTAATTGTAGCAATTTACACTTGTTTCCTGTATCAAACTTCTTTATCTTCCTCTAGTTGAGGAGTCCTATGTGGTGCTGTGGGTTAATGTGCTAGACTGCAAAGTCAGTTTGAACCACAAGGTCAAAGGTTTAAGCTCACCAGCGGCTCCTTGGAAACCCTACACAGTGTTACTGTGCATTGGAATTGACTTGATGGCACTTAACAATAACAACAACAAGTCGAGTTCTGATAATAAAGTTATTCAATTTAGGTCAAGTGGATACTATCAGCAAGTTTGGGTGCTCTTGCGCATCTCCCCCCACTTCATATCAATTGGACATTTCACTCTTCGTTCTTGCCCACTGTGGCTAGGTCATTGCCCATGGGATCAGGAGTTCCCAAATCTCTGGAAACTTTGGATCCCTAACCCTTCTTAGTCTATGTAACATGGTTGAACTCAGCCCATTTCTTCATTACTGCCTTTCTCCACTTCTACTTAGACTAGGAGGAGCTCTGGGAACGCAGTGGTTATAAATCGGGCTGCAAACCTTAAGGTCAGCAATTCAAAACTGCCAGCTGTTCCAAGGGAGAAAGATGAGGCTTTCTGATCTCATAAAGATTTACAGCCTCGGAAACCCTGTAAGGGTCACTGTGAGTTGGAATCAACTCCATAGCACACAACAACAACAACAACAACTCACACTAGGCTAATGCTGTCACCAGAGAGATTACATGCCTCTTTGTGTGTTCCCTTTGAGATTCAGTCTTAGAAGGGGAAAAATAATTTATCTTTTTAAAATGGCAATTTCTTTCATTTACACATGTTTAAGACAATATTGAGTCTGAAACATTATTTTTGTGCTCTGGTAGCGCAGTGGTTACGAATCGGGCTGCAAACCTTAAGGTCAGCGGTTCGAAACTACCAGCCGCTCTGCAGGAGAAAGATGAGGCTTTCTACTCCTGTAAAGATTTACACCCTTGGAAACCCTGTACAGGGTCGCTATGGGTCAGAACTGACTCTACGGCACTTAACAACAACATCAAATTTACATTCGTACTTGACAGCATCTCTTCATTTCTCAGCTATACATGTTTATGTCTACTGAACATAGTATGTAGCACCTGGACACATGAAGTGTTTTAATCATCTCTGCACTTCCAGCTACTTGAGGTGGAGAAATTCCACTTACAACCCCTCTGTATAGTGACATCTGCTGGACTCTTGTCCACACTGATTTTAAGCAAGTGTCTGCTTGTTTTATAGGGGTCAAAGTTCATTTCTCCCTATGTTGAAGCATCCTGTGGTCCTGAGAAGTAATTTTCACTTAAACATCAAAGTCAATTTTAAAGTTTGACCATTTTATTTTAAAGCAGTGCTGGAAATATATCCCTGATGCCTGTCCTTTGTCGTTTGGCATATTTCAGAACAGCCTTCCTCCTCAAAACTGTGAAATAATTTCTTGTAATTATGTTTTGGGAGTATCCTGGAGGGAAGGATACTGGATGTGAGTCAGTGTGAGGTCAACAGAATTACTCCCTTCAGGACATTAAGGAAACGCAATAGGAAACAATACCTATTCAAAGACTAAACTTTTGTGACAAGGTTGTTGGCTTATCTCAACCGGTTTTTAGAAATTTTGCTGCAGAAAAAAAGGTCAGGATTAATTCCTTTTTAAAAAAAGCATATCTTTGCCTTAAAAGGATGCAGTGATTCTTCTCCGGCAAAAGTATTTTGCATTTTGATATTCTTCAAGACCAAGCAAAGCCTGTGTGCCTTCCAAGAGCTGCGGTAAACAAACAAAAACCTTGGAGCGCACCCTGCAAGATCTCACTCCACCGCTAGCGAACTACAAAAGGCACAGTTGTGGAGCTGGTCCTTCCTCCAACCCGCGGCAACGCATTCCTGCATCTCCAGGGCAGTGGATTCCCGGGGTCCGCCCCGCCTGCTCTAGGAACTCCCTGCCACCCTCTTGAGGGCGTGCTCGGGGTGGGGCCTCGCCGCCGGTGTCAATGTGGCCGAGTCTGCGAGGCCGCTGAAGCAAGCGGGCTGGGCGGCGCGCCGGGGCAGCCGGAGCCGCGCGCCGAGTCGTGTAATCGGACACCCGAGCGCTCGCCCACCACGCCGGCCACTTTCCATTCACTCCGAGGTGCTGGATTTAGCGGCGCGGAGAAGGGTCCCGCGGCACGGCAGTACTGAGGATTCCTTTACAAAAGAAACTCAAAGGACCGGGAAGAAAGAATTTTACCGCTGGGACGCTCCAGAAATTAAAGTCTTCTGGGAAAAGGATTAAAGACATACGCCGATCCGTACCAGTAACAACACACTGGTGACTTTTCGTGCTGATTCCTTCCAACTTAGGTAAGTTGTAGACGTCATTTTGAGCGCTGTAAATTTAACAAAAAAGAACTTCTTTGGTTTGTGTATTGACTTTTCATAGCTCGAGGTGCCTAAATCTGGACATTTTCTTAAGATCGCATGCGGTTTACCAGAGAAAGGTTTCGTTTGCTGAGAGCTGGCTTGAGTTTTCTTTAGGCAATGACACCTGCGGAGACTTGAGTATTACAATACATTCTAAGGCAAAACTGTCCAAGGAAAGACATAAAACAAAATGTTTCTCATTCCATGTATTAATTGTATCTCATGTTACTAGTTTGGGATCAGTTGAGGTGAAAACAACAAACAGCTTTTATAAACGTCCCAGTTATAGGAAAGAAGTTGTAAGACGCTTGGGTGGGGAGGGGACTTGTGCAGTACATTGGTTTTCCACTTCACACTTCTCATCACCAGGTAGCATTGAAATCAGATTACTTGACTACACTCTTCATTTGACTTGTCATTTCTTCCTCAATTATTATTCTTTTCATTTTGTAACAGAATTCCCTTTTGGGGAGACGTATCAGATACAGTACTAAAATAGCAATATCTAAAATGTGCAAATAGTATTACCTTGCGTAATAAGATGTATTTATAGCCTTGTGTATTTTTCTTTTTAGTTTTACAGTTAATAAAACCAACAGAACTAGGGAGCAATTGACAAAATAAAAGCCACTCGTGAAATCAATTTTCTTCTAAGTTAATCTAGGGATGACAGGGTGAAAGAGGTTGTGGAAGCAGGAAGAAACTGATCCTTTTGAAAATTACCAACACAAACATCTCTTTGGAGTTCCCTCCATCTGTGTGGTAAAGAGGTAGATTTCCTTTCTAACTCTCACAGCATTTATACAACTTATGAAACCTTAAAAATGCATGTTTAGTATATTTCTTTTTCTTAGATATTAATGAAATATACTGTTCATTGTTCAGTGACATTTCTTAATAAAATTGGTAATAAAATTTGAATTTCAAAAGTCCTTGTAACCTGTAAAAATAAATGCCTGAGGTAAATTCCACTAGTCATTCTATTGTGTAATTATACTAGACTCTGCATGATGGTATTTCTTTTATGATCCTGAGTTTATTTTGCAGGTCTACTAGAGCTACCAGAATTCCTGTAGGTTTTCAATAGCTCATTACCTGGTCTTCCTTGGTATTCAGTGATTAGTTAATAGCTTGTATCCATTTTATAGCTACAGTTATCAGCAGCAATAGGTTGTCTCTCTGATTTATCTTTTGGAATTTTGACAATCCACTTTCTGGTTGATTTATTTAAAAATATGCATTGGTGGCTACATGGTTCAATGGATTGCTCACCACTTGCTAGTTCATTGGATTCAATTTGGCACAAATCCATGGTTACCTCATCAGCATCATTCACAGCTGCATGGTCGTCTGTATAAACTTGTAGATAACTGATTAAAGTGATTTTAGAAATCAAGGATAGATTTGTGTACAGAAACACCATTTCAGAGTTAATTACTTCAAAATAAGAAATGAGCATAGATTTGAATGGATACCCAGGAACGCTCATGTGGGATACCCTTTCTACTAGTCTATTTATGGGAGGGGGAAGCATGATTTTTTTTCCCCCTAGTAATAATTTATTGATAGCATTCATGTGTCATTATTTCACTCAGTGCTCTTTTTAGAGAAAGATTAATTTCATTTTTTTTCATGGAATCAATAACTTTTTTACTTGCTGCTTTGTTCTGCTCTGTTATTAACCATATTTTGTTGGAATATGAAACAGTTCTCTTGTTCCAAAGACTTCCAGACACAAATGAATCAAATCAAAATTTTAATCTGAGAAGCAAAGTCACAGCACCTCCTACTGTTTTTATAATTGTGAAAGTTCAAATATGTCTTTTGCAAATACAGTGTTCTGTCTAAGCTACTGTTTCTGTGGTCCAAGAATGTGAAATGAGATACAATTAAAATTTTTTTCTCTCTTTTAAAGGTATTTTTTTCTTGGATATAAACTAGCAAATCTGCAGACATGGCAACTTGGACAATTTGTGTGCTGATTGGAATATTTGCTTATTCTATCTGTGTAAAAGGATCTTCCCAGCCCCAAGCAAGAGTTTATTTAACATTTGATGGTAAGAGAGTTGATAAGTATTTTGGGGGGAAATGCTGCAAGCTTTTTTTTCTTTTTTTATCCAGATTCAAAAATTAATAAATGAATGTAAGAAAAATATTACTAAATATGGCCCAATTTGAAAAATACTTAAGCTGCTTTTAAGATGATATGGCTATTTTGAATTATTGATTAATAATAATAATTGGTTATTCAGTTACATTTGAGAAAATATTTCTGAAAATTCTTGAAGTGTATGCTGCTAATTTTTTTCAAGTTTCTTCAGTGCCTTTGGTTTGTGTGAGTTTTTGATGTGTGTTTTGGTGTGTGTGAGTTGGGGAGAAGATTACTAAGATTTTTTATCTTAATGTGAACTGGTTTTGAATATTGTACATGCTATAATACAAAGAGCATGTAAGTTTAATGTTAAAAGATTCTCCCAATGAATTTTAAATTTTAGACTTTTTTTTTTTCAAAACAAGTCACTTTGTTATGTTATTCTTATGGTGTGTAATCTGTCTTCTGTTTCCATAAAAATTCCCAGAGGTTGGCATAATTCTCCAATTGGAAAAGACCTAAAAAGTAGATTGAAATATGCTGTTGTTTATTGTTGGGTTTCAATGGTATCTTCAGAAGCTTAGGAAAATCTGTATGACTTAAAATGTTCAAACATAAAAGGTAGAAGGTTCTATAAGGCAATATTTTGCCAAATCTATGCAAGAACCCTCAGTGTACGTAGTTGAAACCACTTACCAAGGAGAGTGTTGGTCAATGGAGGGACCCATAGTAATTGGACAGCTCAAATAAGAAATAGATGAGAAACATTAATCTACCAGTTAGGGTCATTTATATATTTATATTTCTTCTAACTTTGTCTTTGCTTAAACATCAGTTTCACTGGATAAACTTAGGCCTTCCTTAAGCAAGGTATCTCAAACTTTCCCTTATCTTGAATTTCATACAGCAGTATGAATGACACTTATCAGTCAAATGGCTATCATTTTTCTTTCTTTCTTTAAAGACACCAAGTGCTCTTTGCCAAGGTCACCATAAGCACTGAAGGAGCCATATTTAGAACTTCAAGAGTATGAGCTTCTAATTGCTTCCTTTCTCTTGAAGCCAGACATTCCCATTAAAATCCATGGTGATCCAGTTAAGTTGTGAAGAAATGAAAAATACTCTTTGAAGTTTCTCTTCTCTTAATTACTAAAATATTTTGCAGTCTGTTCATACCTTTACTCCTAAAAGGGGAACTCTGAGATATATCAACTAAATAAACAAACATACAAAAAAGCATTAAGAAGCAGTACAGGTTTCCCCTTTCCCCCTGTATTCCACCCAGTATTATATAAGGGGTGGAGTGGACTTGTAGATTAGATGCAACTTCGCTCTCTGCTATTACACCAAAACCATCCCAATGTTTTTATGTAAACATTAAAAGCAGAGATAGTTTATCAAAACTGTATTTGAGAAAACAATGGTAATTTATCATTTACAGAAGGAAACTAAGCAATGCAATTTTATAGTATCAAACTTTAATAGGATACAGGGCAGTGAATGCTATTCTTTAGAGTGACTAGAAGTTATGATGAGCTTTAAAAAAATAGTACATGTCTAATATTTTATATGCTCTTAAATACAAAACAGATTCTTGGGAAATAGGACCTAGTATTGAGTTTTTAACACATGCAGAATGGGACATGATAGGGCTCAGCGGTTTCTCTGAGAGCATATTTCTTGATAATGTGTCATTCTCAAGCGATTTACTAGGAAATAACTGGAGTCATAGAATATAATTTAATAAAATAATTATTTAAAGAGCTGTATTAATACAAAGAGTAGATACAGTAAGAAACTCTACAATTTATAAATTAATTTTGAAAATTCTTTGAAGTAACTATAATAAGCAAAGTAACAGGAAAAGTCCCTGGGGGGGGAGGTGACGCAGAATTTACTAAAATGTACAAAATTCAATGATTGAATTCAAAGTTGTTTTCTTAACAGATTTCATAGTTTGAACTGTTTCAAATTCCTCATCACTGTATGATGGACTGTCATAAAAGTATCACACTGAGTAGATTACCAAGAGTCTCCCAAAATGGGTTAGTCTTGATATCAAAATATAGAGCTTTGCAAATGGTTGATATATATATTTATTGATATATGTTGTTGAATGTCGTCAAGTCAGTTCTGACTCATAGTGACTTTGTATAGGGTTTCTGAGGAGTGGTTTGGTGAGCTTGAACCTCCGACCTTGCAGTTCAAACTGACCTTGCAGCAGTCCAGCTCACTCATCCACAGCACCACACTAGGACTTTCTCTCTCTCTCTCTCTCTCTCTACATATATATATATATATATAT